GTACATCTGTGTATAATTTCTTCCAAGATGGTTCAGTTTTTCTGGTGTAGTTAGGACAATGTATAAATTATGTACTATTCATGCCCCACCCCTCTCAGTTCTAGCACAGCACAATACCTGGTGCTCAACAGGTGCTTGAAATACCATTGTGGAACTAATGAGGGAATGCAATTGTCTCAGCCTAGGGTTCTCCTGCTTAAACACCAATAACTTTCTAACTTGTTTTAGTATTTCTCAACTTCATGAAAGAGAATTGTCTCATAAAGAAGCAACTGGCCTGGTGCTGCTGGGTCATGCCTAGAATCCTAGCTACTCAGGAGGCTGAGATTTGAGGATCATAATTTGAAGCCAGCTAGGGCAGGAAAGTCTGTAAAACTCTTATCCTCAATTGACTACCAGAAAACTGGCAGTGGCACTGTAACTCAGCTGTAGTAGAGCGCCAGCCTTGAGCAAAAGAACTCAGGGACAGCATCCAGGCCCTGAGTTCAAGCCCCATGACAGAAAAAAAGAGTAACTGGGCCAGGCATGGTGGCACATGACAGTAATTCTAGCGATTAGGGAGGAAGAGTTATAAGGATCTCAATTTGAGGTCATCCAAGGCAAAATTTAGTGAGAACTTATCTCAAAAGAAAGCTGGGCATGGTGGTAGACACTGTGGTTCCAGCTACTCAGCAGTCAGAGTGGGAGGATCTTGTATCACTGTTGGCCTGGGAAAAAGTGTGAGATCCTATCTGAAAAATACCTTATGAAATAAAATGTTGGAGGCATGGTTTAAGTGCTACAGGACCTGCATACAGGAGAGAAATAAAGCCCAAAGTTCAAAAGCTAGTACTGCAAAATAAATAAACTATATATATATATATATAGTCGGTCACAGGGCCTGAACTCTGGGCCTGGGCGCTGTCCCTCAGCTCTTCAGCTCAAGTTTAGCGTTCTACCACTTGAGCCACAACACCATTTTCGGCTTTTTCTGCTTATGTGGTGCTGACGAATAAACCCAGGGCCTCATGCATGCAAGGCAAGCACTCTACCACTGACCCACCTTCCCAGCCCCAATAAATAAATAATTTTAAAAAGCAATCAGATCATGATCTAATTCACTTCCTGCTCCTGGCTGTTCAATGGCTCTTTAAATAAAGTTCCAGCTCTTGTCCCAACTGCTCCAGTCTTAACTCTCACCCTTCCTTTGTGGGGATGGGCTCCTTTAGCTCTGTACTTGCTTCATTGTGGCAATGTTAATACTGTCATACTTGTACGTGTCTGTCTTCATCTGTTAAATGAAGCTGATAAAGCTAGGGCCTCAGGTCTCCAGAGCTTAACAGATTGCCTAGATCAAAACTGCTACTCAGTAAATTTCTAGGTTCCTTGATAAATGGATAGGAGACCATCTCCAGGCACACTCTACTCTCAGGGATAATTGATAAGATGAGGTGTGAAAAGGTGACAAACTGGAGATACTCTGAAGTGAGATGAGACTAAGTATGACAGAGGACACTAGTGGTCACTCTATAGTCTGCATCTTGGGCAGCAGGAAGGGCAATAGCACATGGATTGATGAAGAGGAGGCTTCACCGAATAGAAGTGAACATAAAGGATGAAGATGGAAGAGCTGGAGTGAAAGGCTCAAGGGAATCGCACGTGGGAAGCGAGTATGAGGCACAGCAGGGGAGGGTCCCCTCCGATCTGACCAGATCCCCCTGTTGGAGGAGGACGCACATGGCAAAGAGCTGGAAGTGCTGGAAGAGTTATCACTGGTTAGCCTCCATTTTTTTTTCTTTTTTTTTATTTTAACGGTCATGGGGCCTGAACTCTGGGCCTGGGCGCTGTCCCTCAGCTCTTCAGCTCAAGGCTAGCGCTCTACCACTGGAGCCACAGCACCACTTCCGGCTTTTTTCTTTTTGCTTATGTGGTGCTGAGGAATTGAACCCAGGGCCTCATGCATGCAAGGCAAGCGCTCTACCACTGAGCCACCTTCCCAGCCCTCCATTTTTTTTTCAAGGCTACAAAAATAGGTTTCTAGTAAGCAGGAAAGGATCAGAGGAAGAATAGAGGTCTCCAGGCAAATGGGGAGGGTTGAGAGAAATTCCTTGAGACTGGTCAAATCGGATGGGAAATCATCCCCAGTCTCCCTCTCCTATTGGACTTCTCTTTCTAGACATGACAAGGAAGAAATAAGAGGATGCTGAGATGGCAGTTCCAACTGCAGTTCAACAAGATTGCTTTTTATGGCTAGTAAAGCAGCATCCAAGTGCCTATTCCTATTCCATCCAGCCACTCTCCAGGACTTTATGTCCACTCCCCCATCCAGCCACTGAAGGGTTAACCTCAGCGTGGCTGGGGTGGAGTAAGGCGCACTCACTGTCAATACGAATCCTAGGACGGCAGTGCAGTTATCACATGTGACCCATAATTTGCAGGTCCCTCCTGCTCTCTGACTATTCTCCCAGCTTTGAGATGTGACATTGCTATCAGGTTATGGGACAGTTGCCAAATTAGGGGGAATGACAGAGGGACATTTAGAGATCATGTTTACAAAGAGACCCTTGGTTAGAGGAGTGCAGTGAGAGATGCTGCTACTCAGGATAGAGGAGCTTTCCAGAATCTTTTGAACAAGGTCCTTTGGGAAAACTCATGCTTGCCTTCCCTCCTGTTTACTTCATTCAGAAAACACATGACTTTATTCTGTTCCATCAGCACAATCACTCATCACAGAAGCAAGTGATCAACAGAGTTTTGGGGACACATCAAGCACGGGAGCCTAGGCCAGCTTTCAGCAGTGGGGGATGGGGGCTGTTTTAATAGCCATCATAAGCAGGAAAGTTAATCTCCACAATCTTCCCTCAGTAAGGAATCCTTTGGGACTTGCAAAATCAGATTGCTTTGGGACTGCTTCCCAAAGCAATAGGGACGTAACCAGATACGTTCATTGACAAATGTTTGGGATATTACAAAAACAATTCTGCCTTGGGTGATGCTGCTTCCCATAATGAAAGGTTTGAGAAACATTTTCCACCACTGTGAATCTATTGCCACACAGTATAGCAGTACATCTCCTACTACATTAGAATATTTAATACTAATACTATTAAGAATGAGGCCGGGCCGGTGCTTATGCCTGTAATCCTAGCTACTCAGGAGGCTGAGATCTGAGGATTGAGGTTCAAAGCCAGGCAGGAAAGTCCGTGAAACTCTTATCTCCAATAAACCACCAGAAAACTGGAAGTGACGCTGTAGCTCAAGTGGTAGAGCGCTAACCTTGAGCTGAAGAGCTGAGGGACAGCACTTAGGCCCAGAGTTCAAGGCCCACAACTGACAAAAAAAAAAAAAGAATAATGAATAGCACTTGCTATTGCTTTCTCACAACTCTATGTATAAACTCTTTTATCTTTATTTAGGGGGTCAGGGCTTTTATTGTACCAGTAAAGAAAGACAGAGGGATTAAGTAACTTGCCCACGCTCACTCAGCTAGCAGTTGGTGGAGTTTTCCTTGGCTGTTATATTGTTTCTAGCAGCTCCATCCAGAGGTAATGATTTATGATAATCCCAGGTTCTAAGTGAACAAGATCATAATAGATGCCCTGGTGTTCACTGTTTGCTGCCACTGCTCTATCCACCCCCTTTTTAAGAGTCTACTGCAAAGTATTTTATTTCTGTCTTTTTATTTTTCCTTCAGAATTCTGAACTTGAAAGTGTGCTTGTTTTGAATCAACATAGAATGTAGTCTAGTTGAATTATGGAGATTTTTTTCCCCCCTGAAAATAAAAGCCGTAAGTATTTAAAAATACACTTAACTCTTGGGGCTGCCATGAGGAGAGCTGTTCAACATCTTGGTGAATCAGTACAGTGGAGATACTACTATTTGACTGAGATTTGTTCCTATCCTGGGTCTATGCCTAGAAACACCTGTGTTAATCTGCCGTGCATCATCTTTTCCATAAGTCCCTGCCACAGAGTCCCCATTGTGGTCTGGTTTTTTATCTCATACTTTTGTCATCTCTTTCAACTGGAAGCCATCTACCCCTCCTTTCTAAGTTCAGTGCTCTATGTATTTGTAGTCCTGGTCCAGTTCTGTTCCATACACAGTCAAAAATCCCTAGCTTCTGTGCTAAATGCTGGAATTTCTGATATAAAATGAAGCTCACTGCCTATTTCCCCATCATGAGTTCCTTGCTGGGAGAGCGGAAATACTATGTAGCCCAGCAGTGAACATTTCAAACTCACCTGGGCTTTCTTGAACACATGAAATACTAGACATATCAGATCTGACACTTTCCTCTTTATTTGATACTACTTTATTTAAGATTTTTTCTAGTCTAGGGGCCAAAGAATAGAAACTAGTGAACAGACAGACATACTTCCTTTGGGAACACAAGATTATTAGTAGGGTAGGTTATTCTAGGACCTATGCTATCTGAGGGACATTTGCTGGAGCTCTGTGGTGATCTCAGGTGACTATGATGGGGAAAAAAGCCAGCTATTCCTGATTATGGAGCCAAAGTACTTAGACCAGTGGTAACTCATCACTTAGAGAACACAGAGTGTGCCCTACAAAAGTTAGCTAAAATTAATGAAATAATGATGGTACCTTTCTTTATGGTGGGAGTTAGAGGCCTGATACACTCTGTCAGATGGACAGAATAGTCGCTAAGGCCAGAGTGGCCTTATGAGAATGCCAATTAGGGAAATTCAACAAGTATGTTATGTGCATGTGTGGGAACACATGTGTACCATGCCCATACATGCCTATTGCCTGTGTATTTTATGTTAAATAACATTTTATTTTAGATCTTTTTGGATCTAGAGCAGCCTCTTTTGTTCACGACTGCTCATCCCTCAAAATTCAAGTGTCCAAGGCAAGTTTTATGCCATTTACATTAATTATATTTTTAAAATGTATAATTTGTCCCCTACTGCTATAGTTTTGGTCCTTTTCTCTCCAACTGTGATTCCCAAGACTTCGTGTCATCTTCTCTTGTATGGTCTGAGGCTGGGGTACTTACCACAGTGCAGCAGAGAGGCCAGAACCACCACAGCAGTGCCAGGGCTAGGAGCAGAAACAGGATCAGCAAGGCAATTGCCAGGATGGAACCGTCTGACTGTAGAGCCAAGAGAAGAACAAGTCAGTCAGCACTGCACTGATCATGCATGGTCTTCCCTCCCAACTCCCATCATCCATGGCAGATTTGAGGCCCAGAGAGGAGCATAGTGTGCCAACATACATTGGGCTCATAGCCTTGTAACACACTCATTTGAGCCAATCTCCAAGAGAAATGGATTTGCCTTCTCTGGTCTCCTTGATGACCATTTCAAAGGAGGATGGCCTAACACTTCCCCTTGAGCCTCTGGAGTATTATCTCTGCCTAGTGACAACTTCCAGTTCACTGAGCCTCATGTTCTGGCTACCATTTGGGCTAATCAGCCCACTTGCCCAATTCTAGTCCCAGAGGTGACTCTTGTGCTGTGGATGCAGTCTAGAGCCTGCTTAATGACAGTGTGAGGTCAGGGCAGCTGCCATTGAGCCTTCCAGGTGAGGGTGAGGTGGCTGAGTCAGCCAGAAAGCAGATCATGTCAGTTGATGACTGAGACACCCAACACCCATTCTGTCTTCCTCCAAACATGCCTCATCCAGTTCATGGTTGTGGTCTGAGGGTGTTGTTGGGTTTTAGTGAAGAAGTCTCACATGAACTCAGCATCCTAAAGCAGCATCCAAGAAAGCCACTGGAGATCATGAATCCTGACCACTTCCCCCGATGATGGGGAGTTTTTTGGGGGTTGGGTAACAGCTCTCTGTGGGTCTGCCAGGAGCTGGTGGCTCACACCTTAATCCTAGCTACTCAGGATGCTAAGATTTGAGGGTCACAGGTCAAAGCCAGCCCAGGCAGAAAAGTATGAGACTCTCATCTCCTATTAATCATCACAAAGCCAGAAGTGGATATGTGTCTCAAGTGGTAGACTCTAGCCTTGAGCAAAAAAGCTTAGGGACATCCAGGCCCTGAGTTCAAGCTCCAGTACTGGCGCCCGCGCGCGCGCGCGCGCGCACACACACACACACACACACACACACACACACACACACAGAGCACATGGAGCTTCCTACTTGACAGTCCTAATTCCAGAGCATCTAGCTCAGTAGGTCATGGGCTCAAGAGCACAGGAGTTGTAGCTTTCTTTATATGACACCCACAATCTTCAGTATCTTCACTGGAGTCAGTTTGCAGTACCACCTCCTTCTCCTATTTGAGTTGTTCCTTCCCCATGTGTGGGTAAAGAAGGGTGGTAGCTTGTTCAGGATAGGATGGCAGGTTCATGGTAGAGCCCAGAGGAGATTCACTCCCCACTTGAGAGCTCAGCAGGGGCTCCTGGAAGCTGTATAAAGGTAGCCCTTACTCCCCAAACTTCCCTGGAATGTCTCTGACTAAGTAGTTGGGGAACTAAACACTCCTGGTCCCAGCCAAGAAACCTAGACTGGCAATGTTAGATAGCCCTCCAGGGAGCCAAGGGTCACAGGGCTGATGCAGGGCTGGGCAGCTCCAGGTGAGGGGTGGGGAGACAGCACAGAGCCTGTAATGGACAGGACCATGGCAGAACAGACTGCTGGAATGCTGTTGTATGCAACAGTGTAATAGGTTGTTAGTCAACACAACATACTGTTAATCAAGGGTAAGCCTCCTGGCTGCTTTGTCTCTGTGCTCTAGGCCCTTAATATGGAGGGAAGACATCTTAATGCCTGTGGAAGATGAGTGTCAGGGGCCAAGTGATTTGATTTTCAAGACCTCATCCAACATGGAGCTGTAACTTTCTTTTCCTCTAGTTCCACATGACAGTAAATACAGTGAGCATTTCAGATCATAAACCTGTCTGCACTTGGAATAATAAGTGGCTTGTGTCACCCAGAGGCTTATAAAACAGCAGCAGCTTCATAGTAATGACCATAGGCTGCAATAGTTTCTATTCTACACCATTTCCTCCTCCCTGAGCTTCTATTTTCAACTCAGGTAGATAAACTGAAGCAAAGCTGTGTAGACATGTTTTCCCATCTTTAGGGGAAGGAGAAGGTTTCCTGTGCAGCCAGGTAAAGCATGTCTGCACAGCCAGATCTGAGTAAAATAATGTCTAGCTTTTTCTCTAGCCACTTTTGATCTGACCTTGAGAAGTCAGTTCTACCGGGCTGTAGAAGAGAGGAAGAGGAAGGGCGGGACTCAGGAAAGGGACCAGGCACACTACATACATGGCATACATGGAGGGAGTCTCTTGTGGGTGTTAAGTATGGTGTAAGAGTAGAAACTTTCTCATGGCCTGGAGTCAGCCCAGGGATAGAGCCTTAGGCTGGTTTCTAAGATCTAGAAAACCATCTCCATGCTCCTTTCAGAAGAGTTACCATCAAACCAAGGGCATGAACTTGATTTTCCATAAACTTAGACCTGAGGCTAGGCTTCATATGGAGATAGTGCATACAACCTCTGAGGGTCATTCATTAATTTGTCCAGAAATTATTTATTGAGGGTCTATCTGTGCTTACTGAGAAGACCTCAGGTGTATAAGATGGACACCAAATGTTCAGTCTGCTGACTGGGCTGTTTAAACAGCTAACCACTATGCAGGGGTGTATGTTACTCAACACCTATACCTCCAGCCTGTTTTATGTAGGAGATAGTGAATAAATTAAATATTCTCTATTTTTTTAAGAGCACACATTCTGGAAGAATGATGATGATGATAAAGATGATGGTTACGACAATATTGATGATAGTTGCTCTTAATTGGATTGGTATTTACTGAGCACTTATGATGTAAAGGGAGTCTTTTTTCCCTTTGTAATAACATGCTATCCCTCTGTTAGCCCATTTAGTCTCATTCACATTAACATGAATTTAATAATTTTAGTATTCCGTCTCACAGGTAAAAATATGGAGGCAAAGAGAAGTGGTGAAACTTGCCCACAGTCACACAGAGAAGCCAGAATCTAAACATGGGAACTTTGGCTCACAGGTTTACCTAGCAGGCTACACAGCTCTATTAGGGACTGAGGCTTTGTACTTACTTTCCCTGCTCTGAGGAAGGGACTTATTCACATGGCCCGGGGTGGGCGGGGGGAGGGTGAGCCAAGGTGCCATGTATTTCATTCAGAGTGAAGTCAGAGTCACAAGGCACAGCTGCCCTTCCTTGGAGTTCTAATCAACAACCTGTGCAGAGTGATTTATACCCAATGTAAGGATGGCTCTGTGTTCGCTGTCGAATAAATATCAACACACAGTACAGAAATAAACAGACTTTTGTGCTGTTAATAAATGGTATCTGCTTCATTAACAACGTAAGTTCAGTTGCTCTAACTCAGACCTTTTGCATCTTTCAAGTTCTAGATAAAAACTCTTCCTTTCTCCACTTTCTTTCCCATATCTTCAGAGCAGGCTCAGCCGGTTGTTGGGAGGTATGTGAAAGGTCCAAGAGACATAGAACACTTGCAGGAACTTATAGAGCCTTGCCCTGCTTCCAGTTCTGTTCTCTTGCTCTAGGGCAAACTGCTTTGAAATCTTGGGCTCTGACCTTGACCTGCCCTCTCTGTCTTAGTCACTGTTAGCTCCCCTCTGTGTTAACCACTACTTTCAGGATTGGTACCCAGGAGAGTGGACAGCCCAACTGCAGATCAATATGTGCTCAGCCTCTTCTCCACCAGAATCAGTCTAATTATCAACACGGTTAAACTCTTACTGAATTTCAAAGTGGAAATAAAGTTCATAGAAAAAAAGATGGCTCTTTGTTTCTAAACCAAACCAAACCAAACCAAACAAAAAACAAACAAAAACCCAAAGAACTGTGATAGATAGGTGCTCAGATTTGTGACTAGTGCTGAAAGGAAACAGGTAGTCACAGAAGCTGTCCACGCATGGCACATCTTCCATTTGGGGGCACATTCATTTTCTTCAGTGAATGATTTTCAGCCTTCATTCCCTTGTCAAATAGCAAAGGATGTATAAGATGCTTACCCAGAGGCCTGCTATTAAGCCTGCTAACAGGTAATATTAAATTTGAAGGCTGCAAGTGCTCAGCCCTATTCCTTCCCCAGGGATTTGTTATTAGGGATGACCTTCTCTGAAGGCTGGCTGCATCACAGCTTTCTTTAGTTCCTTCTGCTCCAGCTCAGGAAATGAGGGCATCTTGCTTAACACAAAGGAGGATATTGTTCTCAAAGATATAGATTTGGAAACTTGAACAATGAGAACTTCTCTTATTTGGTAGAGAGAATCTAGGGATTTTGGATTTCTGACACATGGCATGGGCTGGGGGTGAAGAATCATGTCTAGGCTTGTTCATAATGATAGAAGAGAGCCAGGTCTCTGCATATAAAACCAAACATTGCTGCCCTTTTCTGTTTTGTTTTGGGGGTTGCCATAGTAAATGGAGGAGGATAAAATGGAGAGGAATTTGTGAGAGACTGGGAGGAATTCAACATAAAGAAACTTTGTGAAATCCTAAATCTCCTGTCAGGCTAGCGATGGGGATATTGCTTAATGCCCGTGGCATTTGGTATAGCCAATAAAATGTCCTCTTACTACTGGACCTTGAAAACTATGTGGGTCAAGCAGGAAACACTTCTTAAGTGCCGATGTTTTCTTCCATGTTAGGGGCCCCAGTGTGTGTTTAACTCTAGGCCTGTATCTTCCTGCTACTCATTCAGTAAATTAGATTCAACTGCATATTTGGACCTTCTGTTTCTCTCTTGGGTGTGTACAGTCCCAGAGTAAGGATCACTCTTGGCTATTCTATTTAAAAGGGTTTTCTGAGATCTGATGTTTCCACAAGTTGGAGGTAGAGTCTCTTAGAAGAAAAATAAATCCTCTCGGCATCAGAAAAGCCTACAAAGGACCACTCAAGTGAGGAGGTCCTAAGACTCAAACTAATCAGCTCTGGGTAACAGCCCCTGGCTGGGTGTCTTCCCTGGCCAGGTCCTGTGCCTGGGAGACACCTGTAAATCTATTTAATTCTGTGCTTCTGTTTCCAGCTGGATTGCTGCCATACTCAGCCAGTCTTCAGCCTGAAGTCAAAAAGATGAGACAGAGGGTTTCTGATATCATTCTTGGCCTTCTGTCTTATTTTA